ATTCATGTTCGAAAAACTTATTCAGATTCGTTTTCAGATTCCGCTGTTTCAATGTGGAATTTTCTACGTCATCTTCCAAAGTGCCTTTTCACCGTACAGACACCCCGAAGATCTCTTTGAACCTGTTCATTCATATTCAAGTTCATTTACAGAAAGCAGCAGGCAGCCCGAGCGCTTTAATCGAATTATGTTCATCTAAGGATGATTCTTATTCTGGAGATTCATTTCAGGGATTAAGGGAAGGAGCTGAATCTAATTACCGATGAGCCAAGAAGACTATGAAGGCACTTAATTCAACTTTCATAAACTTCACAGACACCGACAAAGGCAGCTAAACAGAGATCTACAGAATTAACGGTGAAATATGACGTCAAATTGACACAAATCGAACCGGGAAAATTGAAATCGGGTACCTTCTTTACACAAAGAGTGGCAGGAGTACGGAACACGCTACCCACCTATGGGATCTTTCAGTTTATTTAATATGAACAGCTTCAAGCACCAGACAGCCCGAAAGTGATCCTCTCAGCTCTTATCTTTATTTTTTTAGGGAATGCAAAAGCGCTTCCAAAAACAAAAGTGCGCAACAACACCTCCAACAACGCCATCCTTCTCCAAAAGAAACCGAGCTTTTATAACAAGTAAAAACATCGCTATTAACGTTGACGTTAATCTAAGACACAGTGTCCGGAACTTTGTATTTCTCCTTCCTATTCTTCACCGTGGAATCGCTCTGTAGCTGTTGCTGATTTCCAGTAAATGAGCGCTGGACAGCGGTGGGTAACGCGGGTCTCTGGAGCCGATCGAGGCGCTCAGACGCCATTGCAGCTCCTGCACGGCGAGTCACGAGGGTTCCGGCAACACAGCACACCCGCATCACGTGACGAGGCCGCCGCTGGCCTGCAGGCTGTTCGTCAGATTGCATGGTGGGATACAGTTTGTGATTGACAGTGAGTTTACCGAATAGCTAACGAGTTCTTCCCAAGATTGACCAATGACTGCTGCGATTGCTTTGGAGGGGCGGGTAATACGAAACGTCCTGTTTTTGTTGTTCTTTTCAACAGTGACGAAGGATTTACGTCGGACACGTGGCTTTTAACTTAAAGTGAAGTTTTGAAACAGTTTGTTACAAGTTGTTTATAAATTTGTAAACCTGGAGACTGCAAAGACGTCCCTTGCCCCTGGTGCGTAGCCGGTTAGTTACGTTGCAGTAACAAATGTCGAAAGTTTAAAGCGAAGTAGTGACGCAGAGGGAAGTTTGCCTGTAGTTTCCCCAGTGACGACAGTCCTCACGATGCCCGGTTTGGTGCGGAATGATGTTCTCAGTTTAGTGGGAGAGGAGCTGGTCTGTGTTACAGGATTTTTATTACTTTAAAGTGAATGTGTAAAATAAAACATGTTGTGCTCTTTCATACCGGTGGGTCGTTTACAGTAAACCTCCGGCTAGTGCGGAGCTGCGTATTAAGATGAATATTAATACTACAGTATTTCTGTTATTCGAAACAGTATTATATATTTATGACGTTGTCATATATGTAGACGAATGCACGTGGTAATTTAATGTTAGTCATTAATGCATGTGTTTTCTGTTGAAATGTCAATAATTGTTTACATTTTATGATCAGTGTAACAGATACGTGAGAAACCATTTCAGTTTGTTAATTGCATCACAACTACGCGTCTCATAGGAGAGATTTCAACACACTAACTGCTGCATTGGAGCGAGTGAAGGATTTTTTTTTGTTCAAATAAATATGACATGTTTGGTAATACTAAGCTGAAGGTTGTGAGGGGCTGTGTCTGGTACAGTAAAACTACAGTGTAGCTGGTGTTAGTTCTGTCCAGATCTCCTCCGGTACAGACAGCTCCTTCACTCCAGTGGAGATCAGACAGTTTCCTGTTGTTTTCTGTCTTCAGCCTGAAGATGCGCTGCTGACCTGCAGTTCAATATGTGGATAAATGCTGGGAACAGAATTTCACATACAGTACCTGCTGTTGTACCAATGTGCTGAATAATTGTGTTTACACTGGTAAATTAAAAAAACAACCAAGCTCAAACACTCTCTTTTGAGTAAGTGTGGTGTTTAGTTTAGTTTTGATACTGTGTCATTTTATAACAGGGGCTGATGTCCATCTTGAAACCTGTGTGTGTGCTGTTCAGCTGTGGCTGTGTGGAGCTGTGTTCAGCACTTCTTACTCAGTACATTTTTCTGTTTTGTGTTTCTGTTCCTCCAGTACCTCCACTCTAGAAAAAAGCTCTGTGTCGGTGAGAGCTGTTCCTCGCCTTGATGAGGATTCAGTCACACAGCGGTGAGTATGATCACAGGATGATCAAGTATCTGTCCCTGGATAAACAAGTTTTAATTATCTCTGACCTTTTTTACATCACTGCAATGTAGAAACATTTACAAAGACATTTATTTTTCTTCATGTGGAGTATGATAAAGTCAGCAGTTACTTACATTTGTTCTGATTAGGTCTCAGGAGCCTGATAAGGTTTATTGCAGACAGAGAAACCTTTTTCTATATTTTTTTTTAATGAAATAACATGATTTTGGCTGATTAAGAGCACGCAGCATCTCTATCGGTTACGATATACGAGATAATTTTTTAGCTCAGACAGTAATATCCTTCCATTCATTTTTACTTCTCTTCGTCCAGGTGGGCTGCTTTGAGCCCGAGTCTAAGCCGGCAGGACAGAACCTGGACTGGACACAAGGTCAGCGCAGGGCTCACACATGCCTACAAGCGACAGTTTTGCCGACACCAGTGAACCGAGACAGCAGGGGTTTGGAGTGCGGGAGGAAGCTGGAGCACCAGGACAAACCCACTCTGCCATGGGGAGAACATGCAGACTCCACACAGACAGCACCCAGTCAAGACCCAAACCCAGGACTATGAGAGGTGAGACAGTGGCCCTAACTGCCACACCAACCCTATTCTGACACCATCATCTACGTTTAAAATGAGAGTTTACCCCGACCTGCTCCCAGCATGCTTTGCGCATCGCAGTGTGGCCTGGTGGGAGCCAAAGAGTGTATATTGTAAAGATAACGATGGGATTTGAATGTGTCCACATCAATATCACTTGATTTGACAGATGAATTACTTACTGAATCAAGAACAGAAGTAAGTGGCTTAAAGTCTGCTGTACATACCCTGCAAAATGAAGTCTAAAGAAAGTGCATTAATGTGTGAATCCCAGCCTGATCTTCAAACATGATCAAGGAGAGATAACATGGTGGTGACTGGTATTTTAGAGGTAAAGGGTTCGAACCCTAAGAAACCTTTTATCCTAAAGGAATTACAGCTGTCTGAAGATGTGATAACCGCTCTGCCTTTTGCTCCTGTTCATAGACTACAAATAGATACAAATAGAAATAGAAAAAGATAGATACAAATAAAAAAAAAATAGATACAAATCTGTCTCAAAACAAAAACCACATCCTCTGGCTGCAAAACGTGTAAAAGCAAAGAGGGCGATAACTTCAGGGTCAGCAGTTTGGCTTGAATTCTCGATACCCTCATGAGATACTGCAGAGATGCAAAACGCTGTATCCTATTATAAGCCTTTGAGGAATAGTGTGCATCCCAGATCTGTGGCTGATAAATTGTAAGTGGATAATTATTTCCAGATTCGAATATCACTTCTTGGTTCTGTAATGAATTGGTGTCAACACCAGTGTTGCTTATTTCTAAACTGTGGTTATTTGTAAAATGTGACTTCTTTAATGCTATATTGTACCTGTGATGTGTACATAATATTTATCGTATGTACTTCTGTGTTTCAATTATGAATTAACTTAAGAATGGATTGTTTTTATTTAATTATGCATTGTTTATTACCAGCAGTTTTCTAATACATTCCTTAATTGACTAGTATTCAACAAATCTCCATATGCCCCAAAACTGTTATTTTGTCTTTATTTTATTATAGTGTTTTTTTTTTTTGTATTGGCTTTTTAGTTATATGTTTCTTTTTATGTTATCTGTATGGGTTTGGTTGTCTGTATATTTGTTTCTTTTTCCCAAACCATGTTTGGCACTCTATATTAAATGTAAGAAATCATTTTTTCCATGCAATATGCATTTTGTTGACTTGTATTTCATTTTGTATGATCATATTTTGGATAATTCTAAAGGATTGGAAATTATGCATTCCAACATTCGAAGCCTGCTTCCAAAAATGGATTCCTAAAAATATGGATTAGCCTAAAGTCATAACTCTTTCAGAGACACGGTTGAGCAGTAAAATTACAGATAGTGAACTTGAAATCCATAATTAAAAATTATTCAGAGCAGAGAGATGTACTGTAATTGTGGAGGTGGGTC